ATGGAAGTGGATTTAATTAATTAAAAGATTTGATATCTTTTGTATTAATTAAATAAATTAGGAAGTTTTTAAGGAGGTGGATTTAATTAATTAAAAGATTTGATATCTTTTGTATTAATTAAATAATATCTTATATTAGGAAGTTTTTAAGGAGGTGGAGAGGGCTATTTAAAGGGCATGAAGGGGCTGAGGTAGGCATGCTTAGATTGGAGTTTCTCTTGGTGTCTTTTTAGGTAGGTATGCTTAGACCTTGCGTCTAGAGATTTGGAGAGAACGATCATCCTTTTGAATAGAGGATCACTTGTATCTTGCTTTGTGTTAGTTTTGTTTTATTTCCCTTTGTTGCAATCCACCATTTTGGGGCTGATTTTGCTTTATTCCCGTTGTTTTTCTTCCAATTAGTGGTAGGTGTGCTTGCAAACTCAAGTATTCCCTTAGGGTTACTTGCGAACTCAAGTATTTCCTATCATATTTTTCTACAAATACACCACCTACCTCACAAAACGTATCTGCAGGACCCACAATCCCGCTCTCCTTGAAGTTCCGACGGCGGAGGTGAATTTCGAAATAACCTTATTATCAGTTTTCTTTCAAAAAATGGAATTCATCATCAATATACTTGTTTAAATACACCTCAATAGAACGGTATAGCTGAACGAAAACACCGTCATCTAATTGAAACCGTTTGTACACTTCTTTGTGACTCTCACATTTCCTATCACTTATGGGTTGACACTCTCTCCATTGCTGTATACCTTAGCAATCACCTGCCATTCCCTACCACATTCAATATCTCACCATACCAACAACTATATCACAAACCGCCATATTATTATCAACTCCGAGTATTTGGTTGTCGTTGTTATCCATGACTTATCCCCTCACTTCACATAAACTTGTCCCCTCATCAAAATGTGATAGGTAACAAATGGATATTCAAAATTAACAAGCACTCAGATGGATCCATTGCTCGATATAAGGCGCGTCTTGTTGCCCAAGGCTACAAACAGGAGTATGGGATTGATTATCTTGAGACATTTAGTCCTATTGCAAAATCTCCAACAATCCGTCTTTTTCTCACTATTTCTCTTCATTTTCAATGGCATATCCTGAAACTAGATATTGCTAATGCCTTTCTCCACGGTCATCTAGTCGAAACTATCTTTATGTCCCAACCTCAAGGCTTCCAAGATCCACAATATCCTTACCATGTCTGGCTTCTAAAAAAAGCTTTTTATAGGCTTAAACAAGCTCCTCGATAATGGTTTGCTACTTTATCCTCATATCTCAATCTCCATAGTTTTAATTCGAGCCCTTCAAACTCCTCCCTAATGATCTACAACATCGCCAATATAAGAGTTTACATTCTTATTTATGTTGATGATATTTTAATCACCAAAATAATCAAGTTTTTATCACTAATATGCTTCAAAAACTCACTCAACGCTTCAATATGCGTAATCTTGGCACACTATCAAGATTTCTTAGTGTTGATGTCATTCATCACAACAACACTTATGTTCTATTCAATAGTCCTAATATCATGGACCTTTTTCGCAATGCTAGAATGCAAAATTGTAAACCCATTATGAACCTGCTACCTTTGAAATTCCCTTTGGCAACCGAACTTCAGCAACCTTTTCATAACCCCTCCCTGTTTCAGCAACTTGCAGGCTTCTTACAATATCTCACCTCTACGCGACCTGACATAGCCTTTGTTGTTAACCAAATATGTCAATAAATGCATACACGAATCGAATGCCACTTCCAGTTACTCAAAAGAATATTAAGGTATCTCAAAGCCACCGCATCTTATGGACTCCTTATTCAACCTGGTTGTCTTCAACTTCGTGCCTTTTCCAATGCTGATTGGGCCGATGATTATACTGATAGGAAATCCACTATAGGTTTTTGTGTATTCCTTGGCCCCAACCTCATCACCTGGAGTGTTAAAAAAATAGGCAACTGTTGCATGTTCGTCAATGGAAGCTGAATATCATTCACTTGGTGCAGCAACCACTGAAATCATTTGGTTACAACGCCTCTCCTCTGACTTCTCCATCCACTTGGTTAAAACACCTCTATTTTGTGATAACATTTCTACTCTCTCTATTACCAACAACCCCATTTTTTATGTCTGAACTACACATTGATATTGATCACCATTTTATCAAAAGAAGTCATACAATCTCAAATCATTCTGTGCAACACATATCCTCAACAGATCGGATTGTTGAGAAACAAGTTGATCATATATGATACATCAACTTGAGGGCGGTAATAAAGAGGTTTCACCACATTTACCAATTCCAGCTACTATCTCTTCCACTTTGCAGTGCAGCCAACTTCTGCAAGTGCTCAAGAATCACATGATTTCTTTGGCAGCTTGATTTAATATCTATCGTAGCTTTTTAACAAACCTTTGGCATTTCTGTAATTTCATTTTCCTTGCTTAGATATATATACATGTAATTACAATCTACTAAATTATTATTACAATGGATTGAACATAGTTGCTTCTATTTCACTACTTCTCTTCTTCCTCTATTTCTCCACTGCTTTTATTGTTGTATGTATTAAGCTTGACTTATCTTCAAGCCAGGTAGTTTATCAATTTTATTTAAATTTTGTAAGATCATAAATATGGTCATTTAACTTCAAATATGTATGAAATCAATTAGGACTATTCTATGGACCCAAAGGCCCATATGTTGTACCCCAGCTCATTTCGGGATTACCTAAACTTATTTATGTATTTTCCAAATTAAACGGTTAGATGAAATGATAAGTAACCTAAGCATTTGAAAAACTCCTAATATTAAAAAAAAATCAATGCATACCTAGGTCACTAAATTATGACAAAATTAATTTTAGGACTCTCCCAAGTTGTAGGAATGATCCCTCCTATTTAAAGAATCAAAAGCATTCTAAAAAACATAGAAAACTTTTTGGAGTCATCTCCCTTTGTACATGGCGCTTTGATACTCCCAAAACTTCAAGCACTTTAATGCACGATCACTAGTACCTTATTAGATCCTAATCACCCTTAGACAAATCTTAGGGTTGTGGTGATTCAAGTGAATCAAATTCAACTTGAATTGACCCATTCAGACCCCTCTTTTTGTTGTTTTCTTAAACTTGCGCAAAGGTTTGCAGCTGCTAAAGAGAGCATCGAAGGACCTTGAGACTCAATCATAGGTAGCCTATCCTATTTGTTGGACCAAAATCAACAGATAGTCATTGCCTTTAGACATGGGACCCAAATCATTGTCTCTTATATTTGCTTAGCCTAATTTAATGAATATTCCCCTTTGAGCACAAAAGTTCAAAGAGCACTAATGACTTGTAGTCCAAAACAACATATCACTGTCCCGATCGTCAATTGCATTTGTTTTCCTCAAATTAAGAAAATAAAGCTGACATCCTTGAACGCAAAAATCTGAGGTCTCCACTTTTGATTGTAACCCCAAAATCACAAATCATCCCTCATTTCTATGGACCAAAAAGTCTTAGAAAGTTCCTCATCTTCTTTAGCCTCAAAGCCATAGGAAATCACCCAATCTTGGTCCAAAAAGCGGTAGGTTGCATTTTATTTTTTTTAGCCAAAAGCTATAAGAACTAAGAACCTATCAACCTTAGCCTTAAAGCTATAGGCTAGATCTTTCCTCCCTTTCTTTTGGCCTTAAAGCTAAAGTCAACTATCTGTCCTAATCAAATAGGTAACCTCTCCATCTTGACCAAAACTTTAGAATTTCATCACTTAGTCAAAAACAAGTGATTTTACACTTCACGGCAGTTAAAATTGAAATTATTAAGTCTCCTTTAGAAGACTCTTCCTCTTAAAATTCATCTTATTCAACTAGGGTGAATTTTACCATGTCTTAAGTCAAATCCTTAGGCAAATTTGCATTACCTGTTAAGTATACATCTTTTTTATCCAAATATTAAGAGCATATATAAAATCCATAAAAATCAATTTTGTTTCTTTGGATGTAAAAATGTATCAATTTGTCCCAGAGGTGGAATGTCACATCTTTGAATCTTAGGATTTTATGGATGATGGGCTTGTCGCAAAGTAGAAATTGATCTATGAGTTCTTCATAACCCTCTAAAAATATAAAATACTCTAAAATCAAATAGAAGCTTTAAGTCATATACAAGTATACAACTTGAACTAAAATCATTTTCGGATTAAAAAAATAAATATCTTTCTATTCCATAACTAAAACACAACATAATATTTAAAATCTATTAAAATCACTTAGGTTTCTTTAGATGTAAGGATGCATCATTCCGCCCCAAAGGTGAAATATTCACATATTTGGATCTTAGAATTTCATGAATAATAGACTTGTTGCAAAACAAGTTGGGGTTGTTCCATAGTTTTTCTTAAACATCTAAAAATATAAAACATTCTAAAATCAAATAAAACAACCTATCATGTACAACTTGAAGTGAAATCACTAGTGGATTAAAAGTTTTTTTTTTCTATCCCATAACTAAAACACAACAACCTATCATAGTGTGACAAGCTATACAAGTTAGCATAAACTTAGATGCACAACCCCCATGCATATTGGGATTAAGTTTTTTTTTCCTGTGCATTTGTTTGATTGATTGGTGTGATGATTATTGAAGTATTTGTGTTGTGAGCATTTACCCTTAAGTGACAGGATAGAAATATACCTGCTTTTTTATGCAGTCAGTTATGCCCAAAAGGGGACAAACAATTAAATTATTATTATTATCTAATAAAGTTTATTTGGAGATGTTGCTTCCAAAGAGGCATGACTAATAGGATAGTAGTTGGCTTAATAGCTTTCTTTCATTTTTGGCGGCCATTGCTTTGCTATGTTTTGTTGCACTAGGAATGTTTATATGTCTAAGAAATTTGGATACTTCAGTTTATGATCTTAGTTATGTATGTTTACGTGATTTTCACCTGATAATTTATTTATATTATAATTTTTAATAGATTTCAATTTTATTTTTTCCAACAGATTAACTACTTTGTCGCCTTCTTTGGGTGAATTGACCTCTCTGAGTGAACTCGATATTTCAATGAACAAGATAACATGCTTACCAGATGAATTAGGATGTCTTAATCGACTTCAGATTCTTAAAGCACGAAGCAATAGGTAGCATTTTATGCCCAGCTACTGTGCTTTATAATAACCATACATTTTTGTCTTGATATACCGAACTTTATCTTCTCTAAATATATACTGCATATCTCACAAATGGAAAATAGGATATCTTTTCATTGTATATGATTTTAATGCTGTGAAATTATCAAATTAATAAAAGTAGTAAAATCATTTTTCTGACAAGGCCGATTGGCTTGCTCTGTAAGTAGGTTACAATCTCTTTAGTTGACTTATTCTTGTGATTGGCAGGATAAGCTCGGTGCCTGCTAGCATTGGAAATTGTTCCTTGCTTAATGAGGTGCTTGCTCCTTTCATGTTGTTTTTTCCTTCTATGAGGTGTATTTAATACAATCAAGCAGCTATAATGTATGTGTCTTAGTTACTACGAGCTTTCCTCTAATTATACAGGTAGATTTATCAGCTAATATTTTGACCGAATTACCAGAAACATTTGGACAATTACGAAATCTGAAGGTATTCTTCTTTACAACTGCACCTAGCATATTTTTCTGTAAGCAGAACATGAACTTTTTCTGTAGAAAATTTAGTATGGTTCTTTTTAATCAAGTATGTAATAAAAATTATGTAACTTATATGTAATAAAAATTATGTAACTTTGGAAAACATTTTAGAGCCCATATCGTAGTGGCCATCTACTTTATCTATAATGCTTGTGCTTTCTCTCTTAAATAATTATTTATGCTCTTTTCATCCTACCATGTTCATGCCTCTATTGTCTTTCAATAATTTATTTGTTAATGCTTAGTTTTGCTTAATCTAATTTTGTTGATTGCTAGCCATATTGTGTTAGTACATATTGCTTTGAGTTTGCTTTTTTTATTATTTTAATGTGTTCAATTTACAGAAATAATATCTTATTATTAGCCATATTGCTACATTTGAAAGATAGCAAAATTCATAAAAAGATTTAACTTGGAAATTATACTTTATGTTAATTTTCATGTATGTTAAAGTGAGATTATATTCTATTTATATGATATTAATAGTGTCTTTTGTATTAGGATATTTTTCCCCTTTTTTATTTAAATCTTGATAAATTTTTCATGATATTTTATTGTTTTGCTATATTTTGAAAATAATGTATTGTATTATGCAATATTCCTTTTTTTACCTCAGTATAAGGTTCATTCTTGACAAATATGATCTAGATTGACTTTTAAGATATTTACCTCAAAAAGTGGATAAACTAGTTGATGTAATATGATGCAAGAATTGCTTGTAGGAAATTAATAACTTGTGAATTTTGCTTAGCTAATTAAAAACAAATGTGTTCCAAGATAGATCGTAAGAAAATCTCCGCTGAAGAACTAAGTAATGTCAATTGATTACAATTAAAAGCAACATGAGACTAACAAAAGCACTTCCACAAATAAATAATAAAGCAAATGGCTCTTAACAAAAGCCACTATTTAAGATCTAGATCATTCACTTCAGAGTCCCTCACATACACTCTTGATGTCACTCGGCTTAGCGGAAGAGGATTGTACACAAACTTAGAGATGCCACTAATAAACAAGTGATGCCGAGGGAACTAGTCGTCGGGGAAGGAGCCGGAGTTGGAGGCGCGGCTGGTCGTCCGATGAGAACCCATGGTGTTCGGGGTTGTTGGAGTTCGATCGTCTCGGCGAGGCAGTAGATAATTCATTTGACGCATCTGTCCACCGTTTCGTCGTATTCCCAATCGGGTTCGTAGAAAGGAGAGAGAAGAATGTTGATCTCTCATTGGGCATTGTAAGCAAAGCCGTGATCAACTTCTGGATCGGCCATGCACCAATGACGAGGTTGGGAGGAGAGGTTGTCTTCTTCTCTTGGCTTCAAGTGTCCTGAGAGAACTAGGGTTTCACAAGAAGGTGGGGCACAAGAGAAGGGGTGGCTAGGGTTAGAGAGAGGGGGCGGTTTGGAGGGAGAAGGATTAGGTTCGGTTTTGAGAGAGGGGGAGGGGAATTAGAAAAACTGAAATTAATTTCATCTTAAGTGGATTTGGAGGGAAAATGTTTTGAAATTAAATTCAAATTTCAAATAAGGTTGAGGGATTAAATGGAATTGGGTGGAGGAGGTTGAGCCACCGGTGGTGGGGAGGTTGGAAGTGGCCGACGATTGACTTGGGGAAAGGAAGATGAAGAACACACAAGTAAGATAGATGTAAACTAACCACGAGCCGTGGACTTTTCCAATGACTGGTGGGCCTTGCACTTGCTCACCTTGAGCTCAATCTCCCTTCTCTGTAGCTCTCATGCAAGAAGAAGAAGCAAAGAAAATTTTATTAATCATTCATCATCTAGTACAATGCATGAGGCCTCCTTTAAATAGGTCAAGATAAAACAAAGTTAGAAATACACAAATGCCCTCAGGGCTACACAAGCGACTCAATACCCACAGGGGCAAACTAGAGAAATAAAATACGAGAATAAATAAAATACAAAATAAATCAGAAATAAAGGCTCTGGATCGTAGCCGTCGATTTGTGTCTTCGACGATGGTACACGTGTTGAAATCTGATGTCCTCATCACTAGTGGACCCAATTTAATAGTTGAAAAATTAGCTCCAATTAATGCTAACATATAAGGTTGCAAACGAACTGAGTCGAGGTGAGTATGTGTGTGTTCATATTTGAGCTCGTGTATTATAGGTTGTTCAAGCTCGTTTTTGAGTTTGATTCAAACTTTTTTGTATGTGTTCAAACTTGTTTCATTTAAAATGGTAAATATTCATGTTTGATTTGTGTTTTGTTCTTGCTCAGTTCATTTCATACTTATTGAGCTTTATTTTTTATATGTTCATTAGCTTAACAAGCGAGCCTTATCAATCCTATTAAGAAACAATTACTTGGAGCTTATTCATGAACATATCTAGTGACTATTTTTGAGATACCAAAAAAGCTCACTCACAAATATCTAGCAAGTGTTCTCGAGCTACCAAATCATCCCATTCATGAACAAGCGAGCTCAGGAAATGAGTGTTCTAATAAACAAGTTTGTTCATGAATATTTAAAACAAACAATCTTGCAAACATGAACAAATATTTTTTGATCATTAACAAATTTATTCTATTGGAATAATATATCATGAAAATAAAATTATTTTTTTAATAAAATGAGAATAATCTAATATAATAAAACTTAAAATCAAATGAAAATGCATCAAATAAAGATTTACAACAAGACTTAATCGATTCTTAACAATTTAGAATCTTTGTTTTAAGTATTAATTGAGTTTCTGAATGAGTTTTTTTACGAGCTTTAATTAATATTGTTCATGAACATATATAAGTCAAATATATAGTTGTTCAAACTTGTTTATTTAACCATTGAGTATTTTAAAAATTATTTAAACCTGTTTGATTACTTAAACAAACAATAATAAACAAATTGTATTCGAGTCGAGTTACGAGTAGTTTGTTAAATGTTCGGTTTTGTAGCCCTACCTAACGTATGCATTTTGTTTAGACCTAATTCGACACTGTTATTCTTATACTAAAATTGTATTTAGAATTCTTCATCAAACATGATCAGATGATTAGATAGTCATATGGTTTCTTTGGAGCTTGGGCCTTTGGATCAAGACCTATTTGAGCCGATTAAGTTAAAATGCAGTTTTTTCATTTATGAGAGAGAGGCATTTAGATACATAGAGACACACATATACATACATACGCTTATAGGTAAGATCAATATGTTATTTGAATACTCTCAACCATGCCTCCGTTGATGAAGCATCTTCTACGACATCTCCAGAGATTTCTATTGGTGTGTTTGTTCCAACAACAATCTCTTCAGCACCACTGGTTCTCTCAACTGCTTCTTTAGCACAAGAGGTTTTCTCAACAGAAACCTCCTCAACCCCAAAGACTACAATATCCATCTTGCTCATTTGAGGACCCTACTCCTGATGACTTCTTCCACATGCTTTTTTTTGGGACATTTAGATCATTTAAGGCAAATTCCTTCACATAATGCATACACAAAGACTTGAACTCGAGACCTCTTAGTTGGAAGCCTAAGTGATGCGGACATCAGACCCTTAATGTTCCATCAGGGACGTGGCCGATGATCGACGGCTATGATGACGCCTTTTTATTTCAATTATATGTGATGTATTTATTTATTTTCTGTCTTTTTCCATTTATGCCCTTGCTTAAGGGATTAGTTCTTTGTAAGCCCCAAGGGCATTATTGTCTTTTATTTTTCCCTTCTTGTATTTGTCTATTTAAATCCATCCTCTTTTTGGAGAAGGGCTAATGATTAATATGAAATTTTTTGCTTGTGCTTATGGATCTTTTTGTGAGTTCTAAGTTTTCTCTCTTTGGATGATCTCTTAGTGAGTTCGTGAGAGGAGAGGCCCAAGTGGGGCAAAAGCAATACCCGTCAATCTTGGTGGATTCCAAGGTTCGAGGTTTTCTTATCTTTCTTTTTCTTTTAATTTTTCTTGCATCGAATTCCCTTCACTTTCATTCCGCCACCAAAATACCCCTTGATCCCCACCAAATTTCCCCTCCACAATTCCACCCGCCGGCCTAGCTCCTAGCCACCTCCACCCAAAACCAAACCCGCATCTTCCTCTTGTCGCCGCCCCCACCAAGCCCCCTTTTCCATTGTGATGATGATCTCAATCATCATGCTATCTTCCAAACTTAGTTGGGCTTGAGAGGGAAAATTGGAGTCAATTTGAAATTCAAATTTTGAATTTCAAAACTTTCCAATTTTGGAAATTCCTATTTAGGAAAGTTTTATTCATGACTTCAATTCAAATTTCAAACAATATGGAAGTTATAATAATTTTCCTAATCCACAATCCCTCTTTGAAAATTCCCTAAATTCTCTCCATAATCCTCTCCCTCTCCTTGATGCCGCCGGCCATGCTAGGGTGGAAGCCAATTAATGCTAATTCAATGTATTAATTGCAATTGATTTGGATTTCAAATTTCATAACCTCCCTCTCCCTCTCTCTAAGCCACCGGCCACTATTAGTGGGCCCCACATTGATTGCCCATTAACTCCTCATAACCTCATTTGAAATTTAAATCCAATTTCAAATTGAGTCTCCCTCCAAATTCACTCAAAACTGAAATTAATTTCAGTTTTTTTTTAATTTAAACCTCCCTCTCTCCCTCTTTGGTCAGCCACCTAAGCTCCCCCATTTAATTAATTAGATCCCATAAATTAAGGATCTAATTAATTCAATCCCCTCCCCACTTTCCCTCCTAATCTCCACTAATTTCAAATTCAAATTTCAGAGGAGATTAATGTCTAATTATTTGATAAATCTAAAATTAATTTCAGATTTTATTTTTTTTTCTCCTTCTCCACTTAGCTTGGCCGATCCCCTCCTCCCCTCTCTACATTTTCTCCGGGACAACTATGCATGGCCGATCCGAATATTGATCAGAGATTAGTCTTTGATTCCCAAGGACGTGTGGACGTTTTGAGATCGTCTTTTGTGACATCAACGTAGAGATCGACACCCCCATTGAAGATTACGTGGATCGGAATTTCTGCAACCACTTCCCGGCTGTTCCATGCTGCGAGAAAGCTCTTGGTTGCTGCCCACATCTTCCCCAACATTCAAACGATCTTGTCAGAATGTGCATCTCTCTTATCTTTGGGTAAACTCGACATCTGACTCTTTTAGCCTCTTAGTTTATTTCTCCAACGTGATTATATTTTGATTCACAAAGATGTTGTTGGTCCCTCCGCTAAAGCCTAGTAGTAGGAAGAGTTGAGTGAAGGGTTCCTTGTAGTAGCTAGTCTTAATGTTAACGAAGGGATTTATTGTTGAGACCATTTACGAATGCAAAAGTGGATTAAGTTGATTGATTTTTATGCTCTTAACTTCTATGCACGTAATTTAACCAATGTTATTTATCACTTTAATATTTTATTTTATCGTTCAAACCAACATGAGATCTTGCTTATTATTGTTCTCTGAAACTAAACGTGCAAACGTCTTTAAGCATCTCATCCTCCCATGATTGTTCTACATCACTAAGCCCTCAACCAACAGGCCAAAATGAGCTGTCTTCCGCATGCTTGACCAACAACTTCTTTAATGGAGGTATCATCACCAACGCAAACCTTCAAAGGACATGTCAGACCTTTGCTTGGAAGCCTCTTTGAATTTCTTTTGAATCATAACTACAAACAAGCTTATAACACATTTGAAATTCATCCATGCAAAGCACTAGAACTTTGAAAAAGTTACAGACAACAACACAATTATAGAAAGTGCAGACGATTAAGTTTAGAAATGAAACACAAGCCTCACATATATAAGCATTAATGATAATATCTCAACCACATCAAAGATCCATGTAGTTTATAGAGCTAACACTAGATCAAATCCAGTCAATCAATCCTAATTGAATCTTTCAGAACTTCTATTCTTCTGTCCTTTTCTCTTCTTGGAAGAAACAATAGAACTGGGGAATGGATATATACTTGTATTAGTCTGGGCCAAATTAATCAAGCCACACCAAAACTTGAATCGGCTTTTATATCTTTGAGGAGAATCTTAGAGATTCTATTTTTCAAATTCAGCGAGACATCAGACAGGAATTGTGCAGGTTTCGCCCTAAACTACTCTTTGGCCATACATGTATGTTGAAAATCTTTTTATTTTCATTTTGTTAATGTTGAAGATCATTGTTACATGTGGAGTATTTTATAGTTTGGACTAGCATATAAAATATAGATTGCATGTAGTAAATCTTATCTTTTGCTTCAACTCTATTATGCAGCTAACTATGACATTGTAATATCTTGATCTTCTTCATTTAGGCTTCGTTTGGGACGGCTTTTTTGATGCTTCTTAAAGCAACATTCTAGTAAAAAATTAATTTTTTTGTACTATAAAGCTGCTTCAAGAAGCAGCGAGAAAGTTTTCCCAAACGAAGCCTTAGGTGCACCAATCTTTGTATTTCAATTTTGATTTTGGACTTCAGCTTCTCGCTTGCTTAAAATTAGACATTTTTCTTTTACAGGTTTTGCATCTGCGTCTCAATAACCTCAAAACGCTTCCTTCAACTTTGTTCAAATTTTGCCAAAAACTATCAGTTCTTAGTTTTTTTGGCACACAAATCACCAATGATTATCTTCGTCAGGTATTGAAATTCTCTGCTGATTAATCTTCATGTTCTTAATCGCCAATAAAGGTTCATTTGTGACGGCTTTCTTTCTACTTCTTAAAGCAACATTTCAATACAAATTTTTTTAATTCTGTGTTAAAAATCTGCTTTAAGAAGCATAAAGAAAGCCGTTCAAAACGAAGCCTAAATTTTCTTGTCTTTTGCTGTTTTGATCTACATATGCTTTCCATTATGACTAATGTGAAATTTTATTTGTGGCAGGCTGAGGGATGGCAGGCTTTTGATCGGCGCCGGCGTGGGAAGTATGTAAAGGGTGTTGATCCTGAGGCTGGACCATCAAGAGCATTTGATAAAGGTGATGATAGTGAAAAGGAACAATAAAAACTGAAGACTTTATTTTTTTTTTTTTTTAAGTTGTTAGAACAAATTTATTTCATTTATTTTTTATTTCTTTGCTTATTGAGCTATCAAGGGAATGATGATGATGATGCATGCATAATACAATAGGGCTATAGAGCATAGATCTTTGTTTTCTGAGTATTATTCATAGGATCTATTGAAGTAACTCTTCCTTTTAAAGTTATTTAATAATAAAAAGTCACCAACATTTTTTTCTTGACACAAGAAAATCATTAATTGTTAGTTTTCCCCTTTACTGCTCTCTTGCGATTCACGAGTCACAACTTCGAGCACGACTTTCGTTTTCCCTTTCGCTCCTCAATCACCCCCAAACAGAGACTGTCCATCACAGATGTTTGTGTCTTATAAGCTCTAAGGGTTATGTTATTTGCATTTTTAATTTTGATGTTACAGCTCCTTTTGGCTCCGATAATGAGACGATAAATAGAACTATTTTAATATATTCTATCCTACCAAATAAGATGACAAACATAATTATTTTAATTTAGCCCCCCCATAAACATGATCTTATGCTGGAAAGTCATAGGCTTTGTTTTTGCTCCTGATCCATTTTTCCCCATTTCTTTTTCTGCTCTTCCCTCACTTTACTCAACTTGATTTCCAACCAGTTTCAGGTTGATTCTTCACTAGATTTGAAGGATTTTTTTTCCTTTTTAATCTACTGAAAAATTTTATTTAAAATTTGAGTGATTATTATTATCATTTTTATTTTAGCTTATGAAAATTAAGATTTTAGCTTTTTGATAAAACTTTTAGATCTAAAAATTTTAAGAATAAATGTATTTTTGTAACAAGAACTCATAACATTTATGTTAGATGTTGCTTTTATTTCATATATATATTTAGTTTATTTAGTTAGGTCTTCTAAATCAGTTTTCACACCATAACATTTTAAGTTGAGCAAGGACCAAGCACCAAGCTATGATAAGGAAAGGTCATATATGAAAAAGGCTTTCCCACTTTTGTAGTAGTTGATTGAGCTTGCTGTTATTCAATGATCTATTTAAATTGTGTAATAGGTTTTCAAGTATCAGCTAATTATTTTAGTTATGCTTATGTGCTATTTATAAATTTTTATTATACTTAAACTATGAGTTTATATTCATATTTATTTGAATTTTGGAATATTTAATTGTTATTGTTTTCCTTAATTAGTTCCTTGATTAATATGTCTAGAAATATAACATTTATATTCTTAGTCATTTCTTTAGAATTTTATCAAATCTTATCATTTGTAACATTTGATAAAATTTAATATTTTATATATTTTATTTAGAGCATACATATTCTGAATCAAAAAAATGGATGCGTGGCAAAGGAAGAGTTACAATACAATTCGGATGTTGTTATAACTATGCGGTTGTAATTTGAACTTATTTATTTTTATCTTTATTCATTTTAAATAAATATAAAACTAAGAACGATGTTAATTACATGAAAAGAACGGGATCCCTCCTGGTATCCTTCGTAATGTGATTGTTGATCCTATTCCAAATCTCTTCAATATTATGATAAAACGATTAATTACATTGCACGTTCTGCCTACTAATTGTGTACCTGATAGTTGCATTATTAATATATATGAACCTGGTGATTGCATACCGCCTCATATTGATAGTCATGATTTTATAAGGTAATTTTCTATACTATCATTTTTAAGCGAGTGTAATATAATGTTTGGACACAAGCTAGATATTGTTGGACCGGGTGAATTCATTTGATCAGCTTCAATTCCTCTTCCAGTTGGGTAAGTAAAAGATATTACTTTTCTTCCTTTTCATATTTTAATATTTTTTAATAAGTTATACAATAAACTCTTCTATGGATAATAGATAATTTTTTATCATCTAGATTCTTAACTTCAAATATCAAATATTCAGGTCTTCGCTTGTCTTAAATGACAATGGAGCTGATCTTGCTAAGCATTATATTCCTGCAGTTTCCTACAAAATGTTTCATAATTTAACATCATTTTCAATTATACATCTATCTTGAATTCGTAATGTAATTTTTTTTTTTCTTAAAATTTGTAGGATATCTGTTACTTTTAGATAGATGGATAAGGCTAAGCGCCCATTTAACTTCAAGTTTGATTCAGATTTACAAATATAAAGTCTTCTGATTTAAGTGATGCTTATGAATCATATTATTCATATAAAAGGATGCCTTTATAGGGTGATAATGTTGGATTTTTCCTTTTTTTTCACTTAAGAACTATTATTTTTCGTAATTGGTTGGTAGACTTTTGCTCGTGATTGGTTGGCAGACTTATGATTATGATAATCAAGCTATTTTAATTATATAATGTTAGTATTTGAAGCTACTAATTACAGTATGATCATCAACATAGTGGATAAATCAATAGCAATTTAGAGTCTTTTTTTTTATTTTTGGGTTTAGATTCTAATTCTGATAATTTAACTACTTAAAAAATATGTATTTTAATGTTGAATTATAAAATTATATTAATATATTTTATATATGATAAATTTAAGACAAACATATAACTTTTCATTAGTATAATTAATAATTAGAATTGTTTAAAGGGATAAAATTAATAACTTTATTTTTTAATAAAAAAATCAAG